AGCGTTAGCCAGTCCAGCATGGCTGCAGCCTCAATGGAAGCGCGAGATAGCAGCGCCGTGCCGCGCTAATTCTCGCTTAAGCACGATTTATAGCTTAACAGACAACGCTAGTTTTCAGATAGAGAAACAGCCGATGGATTCGAACCCTATTTCTTGTAATTTGGGAAATTTATTCAACAACGAGTGCTTTTTAAATAGGAAGAGTATGGATGTAAGGAAGATACGAAAAAGATGGAGATGTTCGCTACTTACAGCACACAAAATGATAACAGACTGTATAATTTTCAGTGTGAAATATCTCGGGAAAAGAAAATCGTTCGATTATAAATCAAATTTGGTTTTACAGGGGAAGGTTAGTGCTATATATAGCAATTAATAAAGATTGTGGAAAAAATTAATATCTTTCGAATATTTTTATAAAAATAGCAAGAATAATTTTTATTTATTTATTTTGTAAACCTAAGATGGTGAGCAATTTTTGCTTCCAGATTTGGATTCATCGCATGGAAATATATATAAGAAGCCTTTCCACTTTCAGAAAACAAAATCTCGTTGAAAGAAAGAATTGCGTGTCATTGTTAAGTAGTTTTGGGCATCTTACAGGGGAAGGTTAGTACTATACGAAGCAATTAATAAAGATTGTGGAAAAAATTACTATCTTTCGAATATTTTTATAAAAATAGCAAGAATGGATAATTTTTATTTATTTATTTCGTAAACTAAGATGATGAGCAATTTTTACTTCCAGATTTTTACTATATAATACATAATTTTTACTATATAAGAAGCCTTTCCACATTCAAAAAGCAAAATCTCGTTGAAAGAAAGAATTACGTGTCATTGTGAAGTAGCTTTGGCTATCTGTAAATACACAAACAGTATTCAACTACCTATCTGATTGCTATGAACGTTTATATACGCCCAGAAAAATATGGCTGTAGCTTGTAAACGCGTATGAATATTGGACGATTGTTAATTATTCTGAAAAATGAAAATATTCCAATGGAATAATTAATACAGCATCATTTGCTCGACAAAGATACGAGAAAAAGTAGTAACTGCGTTTGAAAAAAGCATTTGAGTCCGGAGTACCGACAGTCAAAGGGTTAATTACTCATCTAGTCTTCGCGAGAGCGAAATGCATCGCATTTTCGACCTCTTTTCAACTCGCTTCGAATAAACATCCCAAGGATTATCACGAAAAAGGTATTACACGTTCCCTAACCCTTCCGTAAATTCGTATTAGAGTCTATCAAGCTGGTAGCCCTTGTGTCACGCCACATCCCCTTCCCGTGAATCCCCTGTGCCCTCGTTCCTTCCTCCATTTTTACAGAAAATCTTCTATCTTGCCCAGCACTCTGCGAAACCCAAACCCAAACCTAAACCTCGAGATTCGAACCGGTTCCATTGAAAACATGCCCAGATATCGTCACGATTAATCGTGACTACTTTCTTCCAGAAGAGTCTAGAGAATATTATATCTAAGTGATAATATTGTTAGAATTTCGGGAAGGAAATCATAGAGTTTAGCGTGCAGGGAAATAACCGTATTCAGGGATAGTCCGATGCTTTCCGGGTAAAAATCAGTGATGGGGCCAAGTGTTTAAACTACATCAATGCAAAATGTAAAACAATGTAAAAACAGAGCTTCAAACACGCCCCTATAGGTCACAATACTTTAACACTAGAACTACCAACCCAGTCAAAATGACTGGTCCCAGAATTTTTCTTTTTGCAATCACCGAACACATACACCTGCTTTAAAAATAAAATTGGTACCAACTCATAGAAAAGAAAGAACTGTAATCGATATATTCACTCATATTCATCGTACCGCTGAAATTACTATAATCTGTGCACATTATAGAGTTAGGTATCCATTAAAGATCGGTAGTTCTAGTGTTAAAAATGTTCTGCACTGTTCTGAATTAGAGACTGACTCTCACAAGAGACAGCAGGCCCTTTTAAACCCAAAAACCGACTCCTTGATGCCTGCATAGTACCGAAGCTCCTTGAAGTGCTAAGATCGGTACTGACCTGCAACCTCTAAGAGGCCTGTCACCATCGTTGCATGACCGTAGTTAATGTACAACAAATAATATAATTTAAGAGAATATTTTTTAAGAGTACACTCTGGTGTCGCCTCCCAGTCATTTCCAAGTCATCGACCTATCTGTGACCCAGCCTCGTGGGTCTGGCATTCGGTAGCCATCAGCAAAGAGAGACTCGTCGACTCCATCGACGAGCTAAGGCGGTAATGTCGGAGGAAATGGACTATGCATTCTAGGTGAAATCGACCTATCGACTGACTATTCATCACGCGTTCTAGGTGGTGGTAGATAGAAGAACACACCAAGCAGCGGCAAGCTATAGCGGTATTGACTCCGAAAATGAGGCAATAAAAGATCTGACATGCCAATCACCCGTATTAGGGCAATAACCTGTTCCCCCATTCCGCTAAATACAAACGCGAGACAGATATTGCGAGATATCCAAGAATCAGCAATGTTGTTCGTAATAAACGGCCTCGTTGTACAATTCCGTTCCACGAATTCCATCCTTGCACACACGTGCGCTTAGGCGCGTCGCGTGGGAGTATGGCGGGTCGTGGACAGCGCGGTGGAGGGTTGACAGGGTGGTGAAGGAAGGTAAGAGAGGTTCGGAAGGTCGGTTGGACTCTGCAATTGGGGAGAACAATCGATAGTATAAGGTAAACGAGCAGTCTTTCAGGCTTCTTCGCTACGTCTTTCCTTCATTTTCGTCGTGAAAGCGAGCTGAGCGGCGGACAAAGTCCCTGGTGCCTGGAGCAATAATGTCGGAGGCAGCGATGCGAGTCAAAGGGAAGTTCAGCCCCATGGCGAGGGAAGAAACGGGGCTCGTAGATGAGCATTGAGGCTGCCCCGGAAACGGAAGTTGGCGAAATCTTTTTTTAAATGCTCGGACGAGGAGGTCGCTCTGAATGGTGGCGCGCCATTTTAATTACCATCGCGAGTATTCTTTCCTCTCTTCGCCGTCCTCTCGAACGTTTACATCGCGAATGAAATTTTGCTTGAAAAGTTTAAAAAACAGAGAGAGGGGTAATAAAATGGCGGCGACGGAGGGAGACGGATTTAAAATCGGATATAAAAAGGGATCGTTTCCGGTGAAAACGATCCTCGCGACGGGAACGAAGCTACCCTCTGCTGGCCGAGCGGAACTCGCGAAACTTTCGCCAACGATCGCTCCTGTTAGCCGGTGAGCATCTGCTACCGAGGCTATAGGCAATTCCGAAAGCGATAGCTCGAGTTACTCGAGTGGCTGGTTTCCCTAACGTTCCAACCTCCTATATCCTCTCGGCTTTATCTTTGCCTCTGTCTCTGTCAGCTCCTCTGACACGCGCGTTTGCCCCGACCAGAGAATTAATTAATCAGACAATAGTGGCACCCTGATAAATGGCTGGCGAGGAAGCGCATGATCGATAAGAGACACCGTGCTACCATCAACGGTGTTATACGTTCTCGACAAAGCGATCAATCCAGCCAAGATGCACGAGCAGCGTTTCCGATTCGATTCACTCCGCGAAGATCATTGGTCGCGTTAGAACGGATTCAAAGGTCGTGGAACCTTTTCTTACGATTTCATCCAGCAACCCCTACGAGTCGATTCTATTAGACGGGAATTAATGTTCGCGCTTAACGCCCTGCCTGATGAATATGGTGGAGGAAGTCGACCGAATCGGGGGAGGATTTCGCGGTGAGAAAAATGGCCAATATTCGCGGTATTCGTGGATCACTTATCGATAATTGGTATTTACCAACTAGGAGACGAGTGACGAAATGTTAAAGTTGCCAGAACGAAGTTCAACCCATTGACTGCTACGTCGAAATTACATATTTCGCTCAGGAAACACATTTAATATTTTCTTGATCGATGTTCTAATAAAAATTTGTACTTGTTCAACAGGGGAACTTTTTATTTCAAAGCATCTTCTGACTAGCGGTTATATTCCAAATGCACTAACTGTCAATTTTCAATCAATTTTTACAATTGTAAGTAGTTCAAGTGCTCCGGTCACTAATGACCACCGTGGCCTCACAGGAGAAACCGCGACCTGTCATATATGACCAACGTGGCAATCAAAGTGTTAAAGGGGTAGCACGTATACCTGGACTGGCGTACAACAGAGATCGCACAGTGCATCAGAGCCACCAAACCGTGAATTACGTTTATTCAAAGTCTACTAATTATTTAAACACTCCTATTTTATCTATATACCGAAAAATGTTTAATTGTCTTATATAATAATAATTATCATTATATAATTAAGTAAATGTTGAATTTTCACGGATTTGAAAAGTTTCGAGGGGACCACACTTTGATGGTACTAGATTTCTTGTAGGTGGTTTAGTAGAGAAAATACGAAGGTGTCGTTAACACTAGGTTTACCAACTTTAGGTCGACATTTTCTTTAAAACGTAACTTAAAAAGCGACATAATTAAACACTATAAGCTATGAGATATATTTATATAAAACTTATCGTATTAATAGAAATTATTTTTATTTAAATGTAAATAAGAGCATTTACCTAACCTAACCTAACCATCCTGGCCTGTGACGATTCTCAAATACCGATCCTATATGTCGAATCATTTCCTTAGCAAATAATAATAGTCAAGTAATAGAATTTTTTGGTGTTTTTCTGGATGTTTGCCGTGGTTCTATTTTAAACTGCACATGCGTTCATTTTCTTTGTATTTTAATGGGTTTTCCTGTTTAATAAATAAATAAATAAGTAAATAGTCCTCGTAATTTTCCTCGTGAAATTCGAAGTAAACCTAGTGTTTTAAATGCAATTATATATTTTTCATCGCATCAGTCGATGCACCTCGATATTCTTTCCAATTAAAATATCGACCTGTTCATATTAAAAGATCATTAGCTCAGGAGACCTTTGAATTTGAATTTTGCACCTGTAAATATGTAAACAACTGATGAACCGTATGAAATTCACAATACTCACTATGAGAAGAACGCATCTGTTTTCAGACGTCACGCCGCCGCATCCGAGCCAGCTACCGACCACGGCCAGGACACCTGCGATGACCAGAGCATAGGCCAGCGTCGGGTACGTCGAGGTCGTCATCAGAGACACGTAGCTGTGCTTCGAAATCACCGTCCAGATACCGATTCCGCCCACCACCAGTCCAGACAACTGAAACAGAAATAAATCCACGTTCAAGCACCGAACGCTGTTAACCTTTAATTACTCACCGCGCGTTTCTCGCCGGGATGCGCGGATGGCGAAACGCGAAAGGCTCAACGCCTTCTTCCTCTCGCATCTACGCGTTCCACCGGGTCTACCGATCTGTTCTCATCGAGGAATACACCTCTGCACCGAGTCAGCAATTTTTCGGCTAATTGTATCTCACCCTGAGCCCGTTACGCCCTGACGAAACGATGATGCACGCTGAGAGATTTGAGGTTTCTCGAGGCTAACTTCATGGTGTACGTGTGTCCAAATTTTAAAGGAGTTTCCGTGTGAAATTATTGGAGAATCGAGAAAGCAATATGGTCGATCAGTAGGGAACTGTATCCTTGATTTCACGTTAGGCTTTTGTCACCACTCGATGTCATGTCTACTGATTTGTAGACTATAAGACATGTCAGTGTGATGACCTTATAGCGAGTAAATACGTGATTTACATGAATAAACGGTGACCTGTGTTACTTTATTATTCAAATTCCAAGAGAAATAAATATTTCTTCTTTTTATTTTTGGTAGAAGAGCACACGGTGTATCTTTTTGAACAAATTTGTACCAATTTCACGTTGAGGTGTCTCATGTACTCTCGTGAGCCAAGTCCAAGACCAATATTAACCCTCTGCACTCGAGAGGTGAGCTTCAGTCACCATTTCATAAAATTTGGAAGATAGATATTAATTAATATATGAAATTTAACCACTTGTGGTGCAAAGAAATTCACAGTCGAGTGCAAATCACTTCGGGGCGCGCTCAGGCAGCGTTCGGGGGGCTCCAGAAGAGAATATAAAGACGCATCAACTGATGAAGTGCAAGCAGAAACTGTGCCTCGGTAAAGAATTTCATTAACAGTTGACGTGCCACGCACGTCATTTCTCTTTCTGCAACAATCGCCTGACAACGCGTGTAACACGTCGCTGGTGTTTCGGTAACAGAAGCATCTCGACGTACGTGGCACGTCTTTCCACCGCAAGTGGTTAATGTAACGCAACAGTGTACGAGGTATTGAAATCAAATAATTCTACAATTATATTATTATACAATTTATTTACTGCTCAAAAATATTTTTTAGTACTTTTTTAGTAGAAAATCTTTGAATTTCTACTCTTCTCTAGCCAAAAAATCGTCGAGTGCAATGAGTTAACCCTTTGTACTGGAGAGACTACCTTCAGTTGTCATTTTATAAAATTTCGAAGATCGATGTTCATTAATATGTCAAATTTAAGATAATGTAATGGCGTGCAAGGCATCGAAATGAAATATATATATAAATTTTATTTTCAGCTTCTGGGGCCTAGAAAAGAAACTTGGTCTTACAATTTTGTTACCCCACTCATCCTTAGAACTTATCATACTAAATTTAACCTAATTGGTAATCTTAATACTAACTTAGTTCTCGAGTCGCCTATTTTAGAGTGCTACATGTTTGTTCCACTCTTCCCTCTACTTGACTCTGTTTTAGGTTATTGTCCACGGTTCGCAATCATTCTATAATCTTTTCATTGTATCGAAATGAAATAATTCTTCGTGTTAATTATTATACGATTTCTTACTTACTGCTGCACAAAATTTTTGGACTCTTACTCTTCTTTAACCCAAAAAATCGTCGATTGCAAGAGCTCAAATTTGATCGATTTGGTTGATTTTTGAGAAAATATTTTTACCACCGGTATCACGCGATACTATCGTACTCAAGTAAATTCAAGCCCGATTTATAACCGCGCGATTCCCATATCGAGGTACTCCCATCTCTCAGCTTTCGCAGCATCCAGAAACACCCAGCACGTGCTATCGCACTGTCGCCTATCGTGCACGAGCGTATTCGCACGATCGTTCTCGGTTTTCCCGGAGGATATACGGCCCAAGTGTCGGCGCGAAAAGCTCGCCGATACCTCCCGGGTCTAATTAACTCGTCCAAGTCGAGTCCTCGTTTCCGTGGAGTCGAGGATACGGGAAACGATACCACGATCGGCCAGATCTTCCGGGCAGTGGCTTCCATCGAAGCCGAGGCTCGAACTCCGCTCAATTCCACCAGCAGATACGGTCGCCGCCCACGAACAGCTGCTACACAGCGTGGAACGTCGTCGATAACCCACGATTTATCTATCTTTTTTCTCTCTCCCCTCACGATTCTCCGCCTCTCTCTCTTTCTCTCTCTGTCCCGTACATTTTTCCTATTTTTTCCGCCTTTTTTCCCTCCCCCGGTAGCCTTGATTCCGTGGAATTTTTGTACCAGTGACATCGCGGTCGCGACGCCGATCGCCTCTCCCACGGGAGAGCACCGGTGCAAGGCAGCGGGAAATATACGGGCAACGTGGACGTAAATATCGGTGGACGCGCGATATTTACGGTATCGAGGAATGTGCAGTACGTGGGCAGTGCGAACTGCACCCATGCAACGGCCAAGTTCCTAGACAACGCTCCTGGCCATTAACCTATGCCCACGGAAGTCGCCATGTCGCGACATCTCGCGCGGTACCGCTGCTAATTGCCTGGAAAATTTTCCTCCATCTGATCTGTGCGATGGAGATTGTGGAAGCACCAAGAACTGCTGCTTTTCCATCGTTTAGCAATCTTTCCTCTTCCATATCAGCCGCCGTTCATTGCACAAATCGATTAACTCCACGTTTTGAAAAATCTTAAAACCAAGTGTCGAAGCACTTGGTACAGTCATAACTTCTTGTATTTAAGATTTTTTAAAAGGTGGAGTTAATCGATTTGTGCAGTGGACGGCTGATATATGCTACACGCGTCCAAAAAATCCACGTGTATGCTAGACTAATTGCAAGATCTAATACCAATCCTCTAGAACACTCGTCATTCGTGCTGATAATTGCTTTAGAGCCATTCGTCCGTGATATCTTCGATGGTATTCGCGTATATTGAAAGAAAAATTGGCTTTTCTATTACCGAGTATTCTTTCCTCTGCCATATATAATATATATGCTTCCAAGTGTCCAAAAAATCCACGTGCACGCTAGACGATCATTTGCACTTCATTCAACCGATGATCTAATGTGAATCCTCTCGAGAATTTGTCATTCGTGCTGACAATTGCTCTAGAGCCATTCGTCCGAGATATCTTCGATGGTATTCGCGTATATTGAAAGAAAAATCGGCTTTTCTATTACCGAGTATTCTTTCCTCTGCCATATATAATATATATGCTTCCAAGTGTCCAAAAAATCCACGTGCACGCTAGACGATCATTTGCACTTCATTCAACCGATGATCTAATGTGAATCCTCTCGAGCATTTGTCATTCGTGCTGACAATTGCTCTAGAGCTATTCGTCCGAGATATTTTCGATGGTATTCGCGTATATTGCAAGAAAAATCGGCTTTTCTATTACCGAGCATTCTTTTCTCTCTCATGTATACTATACGTTCATACAATGCGTCGCTAAGTATCCAAAATATTCATACGAATAGTTGACACTCATTTGCTCCTCGCGCAACCGATGATCTAGCACGAATTCTCTCGAGCACCTGTTACTTGCACTGACAATTGTACAAGATCCATTCGCTAGAGATGCCTCCAATGCTACCTGTCTATGCCGACAGAAGTATTGGTTTCTCTGTCACTGAGCATTCTTTCTTCTGCCACATATACTATACGTCCATACCATGCATCCATCGCCAAGTGTCCAAAAAATTCACGTACATAGTCGCTCATTCGCTCCTCGTGCAATTGATGATCTAGCATGAATCCTCCCGAACACTCGTCATTCGTGTCGACAGTCACTCGAGATCCAGTTGACAAAGATATTTTCGATGCTACCCGCGAATATCGGAAGAAAAATCGACTTTTCTATCACTAAGCATTCTTTCTTCTCCCATATACGCTATGCTTTCATACCCTGAGTCGCCAAGTGTCCAAAAAATCTCTCGAACACTCGCCATTCGTGCTGATAATCGCTTAAAATCCATTCGTCATTCAACATCGGAAGAAAAATCGCTGAAAGTATGCGACCGAGACGATAATTTCGTAATTTCGAGTGAAAGTTTCGAAACGATCATTTAGACCACCATGACGGCTTCACTGCTAATACGAAGTCTGTGACAGCAAAGTGGAGGAGCAAAGATGTCCCGCGCTGCATCCCTGTCTGCATAGGATAGCGAGCGTAATTTACGATTAGTATTCGCGATGGAATATTTATGACGTGTTCCGGTGAGCATTATTTACGTATGCACGAGCTTCGAACAGCGGGGATGTGTTCAGTCGTGGAGTGAAGCTCGTAAGATCTACTCCGCGAGTATGAGACCAAGCGCCATCGTCGAAAGGCAATTTCGTCGCGCGATTTCCGCTGGTTGGAGCCTGGGTGGTCGATTGGATCGCGAGGAATCGCGAGATGGCTGTCGAACGGAGACAAAAGCGCGAGGAACACAATGGACGCGGCGTGGCCGGGAAGAAGCAGCGTCCTGAGCACCGTAACAGGGCCATCTTGGGTTCGATCGAGTGGAACCGAAAATAAAAGAGCGTCTTATTAGAGGACCGCTGGATCTCGTCTGTTCCTCGGGGCTGGCCGCTAACTATGCGCGACATTCGTCCCTCGTCGGCCTTAAAACTCTCGAAAGCCTCGTTTGGACAGGTTTTCTGGAATTCTTCGAGGGACACCGACGTCGCCCGCGAACGCGGCGCCCTTTCCCTTCGCCACTGGGGGGCCGTCGTGATCCTCCGTGCCAGGCTTTCCTCGAGACGCCATCGTGACTTATCTTCCTCGGAGGTTATGAATTCGGAGAGCAAATAAAGACGAGAGTAGTCTAACGGTGCTCCACGGTCATCCTTTTACCGTGTTTCACGCCCCACCTGACGACCGATGGCGCAGAAAATTCATTTCCTCCGTTTCGGAGGCTGCGGGAATTTGAATCTGCGACACTCGAAGAATTGCAAATCGATCGTAATCACCGACGGGTTTACGCAGTGACTCCCACGTGGCGGTAAAAATGTAT